AATTTCATTAAATTTACGCCGGAAATTAACTGAAATACCGTATTTATGCGAATCTAATGCGCCATCGAATCTAATGCGCATCCCCATTTTAAAACTTTAAATAATAAAAAAATTGTTTGTCGGCGAATGTAATGCGCATCAATGATATGAGGAATTTATTGAATCTTATTTTATACAACAATGGATTTGTATATAAACTATCAATTAATGGTATGATAATTTTATTTAAATTTAAATACCATATTTTATACAACAATGGATTTATACATAAAGCAGCAGAACATAGAATTAACCTATTAGTGGGCTATTGTCATGTGAAACAATCATTGTTAATTAGCACTACCGTATATACGGTACCTATCGTAAATATGAACGTGAAATAAATCGTAACATTTCTATCTCGCTAACAGTTTCTACAATCAGTGATTAATAGTAAACGTCTTTATTCACTAATGTTTTCATCACTGGAATCCTCGCAGCTCTCTTCGTCAGAAGCAGATTCATTTCTTCTTTCCTCATCATCGTCATCCTCATCCTCGGCGTTTCAAAGCACGTCATCGTCACTGCCATTCAATGCATTTGAAATGCAGCATTTCTTGAAAGATTTCACAATCATTGGTGCTTCGATGTTTTTCCAGGCAGCAGAAACCCAGTGTGCAACAATGTGCGGTGCAGCACGCTTAATTTTTCCTGTCGGGTTCAATACACGGTTTGACTCACAAAACCATTTTTCGTACTCCGCCTGAACGTACCCCTTAAAAAGTTTATTTATACTAACGTCCAGGGGTTGTAACACAGACGTCATCCCTCTAGGAATGATAACAAGATCACTGCCTAGGCTGTGCATCTTCTTTTTTACGACTTCGGTGAGATGACCACGAAATGCGTTCAGACAAAGCATTGATGGTGGATTAGAGAGCCCACCGGGACGGCGTTTCCATACATTTCGGAGCCAATCAAGCATTAATGATTCCGTCATCCACCCCTTCTCTTGGTTTCGAATCAGGACATCATCTGGGAACAGCTTTTCATTCTTAGGGGTTTTAGGGCATGTTTTCCGTTTGAGGATTAAGAAAGGGGGAAGTTTGCACCCGTCTGCTGTTATTGCCAGCATCACTGTTACGCGTTGTTTTTCACATCACGAAGTTTTGATGATACCTTCCTTAGTCCCCTTCTCTGTAATGGTGTAGTTACGAGGCATATCAAACCAAATTGCTGTCTCGTCAGCGTTGCCAATTTGCCCCATTGAAAAATTCTTTTCCTTCCGAAGTGTGATGACATACCGCTGAAATGTTAGTAGTTTTCCCTCAAAATCTGCAGGAAGCTTTTGGCATATTGTTGTACGGCGTCTTAGAGATAAACCCATCCGCTTCATAAACCGATCCACCCATCCACGGCTAGCCTTAAACTCTTGTTTCGGTATTCCAAGAACTTCAGCCTCCTCTTTTGCTTTATGTCTTATGGTGTCACTAGTCACAGGTTGTCCATTCTTCCTCCTTTCACGTACAAATTCCAAAACGTTTTCTTCAATTTTAGGGTGTCTTCCTTTGCGAGGGCCAGTGAATTTCTTTCTACTAGCTTTAGTTGCAAACAGTGCCAATTTCTGTTGCCGCCACAAGCGAACATTGCTCTCAGCTACGTTGAACTCTCTCCCTGCCATTCTATTGCCATTTTTTTCAGCATAAAGAATTACTTTATGTTTGAAAGTAGCGTCACATGACATTCTTCTCTGTTTGCCCTCCATTTCGTGACTACGTACTCTGCAGTTTGTATCCTCTATGCAATAATGTGTCAACGATAAATGTAACGGTAAATGTAGTCGAGAAATTTATTGACGTCATCGGAGAACTTTGCACTCGAATCTAATGCGCCATCGAATCTAATGCGCACCCCAATTTTGAATAGTACATTTGGCCAAAAACGATGCGCATTAGATTCGCGTAAATACGGCATTCGTCCGCTTAATGTTTGAGCATCTGTGTATTCGTCGCCTGTCGTAAAACTACCCCCCCCTTTTTTTCGGACTTTGAATTCATTCAAAGATCCCTAAGCCGAACGGGAAATCTCTCCTTTCCAAATGTGGTGCCATAAATTCTTTGCGTTTCCTGGACTAGAACGCATTTCGACATGGGGGTGGAACAAAGTCCTTTCATGCCACAACTGCTCAACTTACGTCAATGATTTTGTGTCCTTAAGAAAGAAAAGCATGTATTCTGGAGTTAGCAATTAATATTTACGAATGATTCCCCCCTCCGGCTTATTAGTGTAAAAAATACAGAAAATTCAATCAGCCTTTAACTTTGCCATTTTGTAATGTCAATCATGCTTCTAAATCCAAAATGTTTCTGTCCCTTACCTTGCCTCTTGGTGCAACTGCACAGGTTGCAAGTACCATCGTTTCTTACATTGTGAGAACTATACATTCAAACATGCAGATTCTTCCTTATTTAATTTCTTTAAAAATAATACAGGGTGAAATTATTTGGTGGCAACAATTTGAAAAGTGATACGCCGTTTACAGCGAACCAACGAAATACATGTTATATTAAATTCTAAGAAACATTCACATTAATAAATTCAATTTCAAATTGAATATTAGGACTGATTTTTGGACTTGCGTTTAACGGAAAAGCTAGTAAGAGATTCAGTATGTGAACAAAATTAAACGCTACGGAATGCCATATTATGAAAATTACGAACTGCAAATAATATACCAAGATTTCTCTTAACTTGCAAAGTTCATTTCAAAGTACCAGAATCCTGCCTAGTTACTTCTTTGATTTATACTTAGAAAATATGTCTACTGATTATTCGATCATAATGCGAATTATACAGAAACAAATTAATATATAAAATAAGTACTTCATAATAAATAGTTACAATTAATTTCCACTTCCACCGCTTTTTGATTTAGGATTGCAAAAGGAGAAACCTTTCCTTTAGGGGGGGTCGCCTTTAATAATTTTCAGGTTTGAGACTAAGGAATACAAAGGACTTTTCCTATTTTCCGCTCAATGCTATCCCTAAACTGGGGTAGGTCATGAAGTTATTATTTCATAATGGGATGCTGGAATTTTAACTTTTGCAAGCACTTGAATTTAGCAGTTTCAGGTGCTTCCAAGGGCCTCCTATCTGCGTCATACAGAGAATTGCATCACTGCACCACATAGGTAGGGGGCCCTTAATAACTTAAAAGAAAACGAATTCCATTATCTACATATACTTAAAGATTCTAAAGTTAAAAGTAAATTGGAGTGAAATCAAGGCTATTCCTCAACTATATTAATATTAACAATCGTGTAAAAGGGGTTTAACACAAAATCAAAACATATCAAAATTAAAATAAGAATTTATAGTAGTACAAATTCTAAAAATAAAAAGCAAAAGGAAAAAAAAATACAAGATAAAAAATATAAAAATAATAATTAATCTTCTTTTATAGAAATTCTAATTCCGAACTCATCAAGGGAAAATGAATTAAAGCTTCTATATATATGTAATGGAATCCGTCTTAAAGTTTAAACACGTAAATGTAGTTCAGCAGGACACTTAAAGGGCCCCCTAAGCCTTCGGGCCCCTATGCGACGGCATTCTTTGCATACCCTTATTTACGCCACTGCATATTGAATGTTGTATACATTTACATATAACCGTATTCTAAAGTTATCCAGTAGGCAAGAAATACTGTAAATAAAGAGAAGATAACGAAAAAGATGATCTGCTAAATTTGTGACTACATATAGACAAGATACTACATTACAATTAACGATTACGTCAAGGGAGGATACTTTATCTCTGTTATCCGTACTGAAGCTTGCGTCCTTTGCTTTCAAAATGGATCGTTCGTCTGTCAATATCAAAATGATCATCTTATTTAAAAGAAAAAAGTGTAGATGCTATACTTATTATTGATGCTAAAGCTTAGACGATTTTCTTTGTTATATGCAATTAAATAAATAGACATTATACACAAAAATTTTAAACGTTTCGTGATAGAGTATATATTTTACGACAGTTAATGTTAAAATAGCCAGAATAATAATCAATTTTGGGCATATTATCAGTCCGTAAAAATGCTCAATATTGATTATGATACTGGCATTCCTAAGCTATGTAGTTCTGTCTTTTAGTTTCTCAAACTGTTGAAAACATTCCATAAAAATAAAATCTTCATTGATAACTTTCTGGGTATGAAAGAAACCTCACAAATAAAACACGTTCTGTTCAACGATTGATTGCTCTCCAGTACTTCTGTACAATATCGACTTAAATTTGCTTAGCGTTGATTTATGCATTATAAAATGAATGAAGGGAAAAAAGAAAAGAAAGCACTGAACGCAATTATCTCAAGACAGAAGCAGAACCGGAAAGACCTATGCTAACAATTCACCTTTATTAAGGTACGAAGTTATTTAAGACAACGCACCTTGTTTGAAAAACGCAAATAAACAATAAAAGAATAATTGTTTTGGAACCAATAATCAAAGCATATGTTACTGTAAGAAAAAGCCTCCAGATTTAATAGATATGTATATAACAATCTGAGCGACTATTTTCTATTTAAAACTGCTCATTTAAGAAGAAAATGGAGCTATTATTATTAGTCATCCTGCGATATTTTTCATGCAGATGTGACGCTTTGTACGCTTACTGCCTCAAGTTACGAAATGATTCCAAGTAAGTGAATCTGCTTCTGCTAAGAGCTCCCTTTTCATTCAAAACGGATATTGCTGTGGAAAAGAATCTTATTTTTTAATAATAATGTATTCCAGGATGTGTTAATCTTTTGATTAGAGAGGGCAGTAGTCCAGCTTGCCTACGCCCCCTAGCATGAGAAAGGATGTTAGGATCCCCAGCATTCGTCCTAGAAAACGGATATTTAAAAATAGCACAAGTTTTTGAGGAGTTTGCACTGCAGGTAAGCGGTTGCGCCTTACGTCACCGTTGTTCTTCATGTTCGTTTTGATAGTTGGCGAGTTTTATTGGTTGTGAATTCAGCACACGCCTGCGTTGGCTGAGTAGAGCTCTTTAAATACAGCAACCCTGAGTTGTTTGACTACTTCACTTACAAGTGTGTTCCTGTTGTCGTTTGATCGGTGTTTTCTGGCAGTGCCTACGCGGCAATCAGCTGCCGATTGGAAGAGTAAGTCAAATTTGAAAATTTTGGTGCAAATTATTTTAAACGCAATTGGAAGTTCAAGAGTCCAGTGTAACAATTCATATTTTACCCATTATATTTGGACGATTATAAGAGAAATATTATTACAAAAATTCTTTGAACGAGATAACAATTATACCGTTATTTAATGTACTTAATTTAATTTGCAGAAAATTACAGTTCTCTTAAAAGTAGATTAGTCCTATTTTGAACTTTTAATTCAAGCATTTGTTTGGCAGTTTTATATTCATTAAAAATATTATTTTTATATTTAAGAAATAGTTTAAGGCCAGAAAAAGTTCTTTCAATTTCTTAAATCTCCCTTCAGAATATTTTATTTTTATAAACCCTCCGAAGTATTTCTATTCCTTCTCAAATTCGGAGCAATCCAAAGTTGTGTAGAATTTTACTGCAGTTTACGTCATAAAATTTAGCTTTTTTATCATTGCAAGAAAATGAAATAAGAAGACGTATTTAACTTCCGGAAGGCATTAGCTTTTCAGCTCTCAGCCTGTCAAAGACAGCCTAACACGTAAAAAATTAAATATTTTAAATTTGTAATCGCTTATTGGTGTGCTTTATCATTGCACCACTGCTTCTACATATCTTTACAAAGTACATGTATTGTGAACAATGTGTTAAGGCTTCTCACTTTTTGATAGCAATTATCTTCTTCCCAGAATGAAGAAAAATGAGCAAGCTATTAAACAGAGTAGTACTAATAATAATTTTATACAGTGAAATAAGAATTAAAAAATTTCGGCCATCCGACAGCAGAACAGCTTTTCATCGTACTATTTTATATTCATATGATGATCTAAAACAGGACTGTCTAACGTTTTCATGAACGTAAGCTACTTTTTTTTCTTTCTTTTCGACGAGCAATTTTGCGGTTTACCGCTTGGCGGGAAAATGTAAATTAATAAAATTAATCTACAGCTCGCGGTCAACTCGGAATTTCCGCAAATATCAGCTGGCGAGGGATTGCTTACATTTTCTCGAAATGCAAACCGTTTCATAATAATGGCCTACACTTCCTAAAGAAAATGTCCGCTAATACTCGAGTGGATAAGATGCTAATAGTTCCATCTCAAGCCCTATCCTGGCAAATCAATTAGCTGTTTTTTTTACGTCTAACATGAATGCGAAACATTTTCCTCTAATAAAGTTATTTTTCTTAAGTCAAATAATTGTCGTTAGAATTTAATATAATGTGAACTTTAAAAATCAACACATCTTTGAAAAAAGTACCTAAAAACATTTTCATTTTGTGAGTTTTTGGCAAAGAACGATTTTTTATGCATTTACAAGTTAGCGTATTTTATGTATATGAAATGTGCTATTTGCTTTTATCACATTCGTAAGCGATATAGGTTTGTGCTTATGCAAACTTCATTTGAAAATTAGAACTCATTGAATTTGGTGTATTATGTAGGAAAATTTTATCAGACAGTTATTAACAATGCAACTAATTACCATTTTTTTAATTTGTTATGTGCTCCGCCAATAGTCATTGCATGGAAAGGGAGGGATATGCCCCTTGGAGACCTTTTTAAGGGAAACTCTCTCGTAACTCCTTTACACGTGGGGAAACCACAAAAACGCTCATGCGGCCGGCCTTTTCGGCGGGACTAGAACCCCAGACCGAGCTGCAGTGTTCAGCTACTTTTACCACTCAACCGCTGGTGGGCTAGCTTCCAGTATTGAGACTACTCTGTGGTCTTGTCTAGTTATCTGGGAAAGACAAAGAATTCTAAATTCAAAGTTTACCCTCTAATTTTCTTACGAGTACGTGGCGCAGAAATATTAGCTGGGAGAAGCAGAAGTTTAGTTAGTTTAGATAATTATAAATATTTTTGTATGGTGATTTGCTGTAATGGACTACGTGTGCTGAAAGTGTAAACGGAACGCTGATTCTTGTTCATAACATATTAGCATTATAGTCAATGCCACGAAGCTGAAAGTAATGTTATAAGAAATTCACAGAATTAAATAAATATGTTCTTTAAGATTTTCGTTTTAAAAGTTAAGAGTATATTTTCTTTTGTATCATCCGTTGTTGAAATAAAATTGGGAACTTAAGTCAAATGACGTGATCTGTTAGTAGCGTCGACATCGAAAGGTAAAATTTGTAGAATTTAGGCAAACACCAAGTAGCAAAATTTAAGAAAAGTTAAATTTTTAGAATTTAAGCAACATCTTGGGCAGCAGAATTTACAGGCGCCAGAGATTGTAACTAATGACAAAATGCCCGATGCCGATATTTTCTGTTACAAATGATCTTTTAAGTAAACTTTTTAAATTATTCCATAAATTTTAAATGTCTATCTCAAGATGAGTGAATATTGATTTCTGTTGGTCGTTGATTATTTTTGCTATTTAGAGTTTGGGGAACCAACCAATTTGCAGGTAGGATTTAGAAACACCAAACGAATTTTTGGATATTTTAGATATATTCAGTATAATTGTTACTGATACTTATAGGATATTGAATTATCAAGTTGCAGACTAAATGTACTAGCTTTTTATAAAATCATTTAATTCACATTTAAAACCAATCTGTTGAGCTAACTGTGTCCACTAGCAGCCGAGCGATAAAAACTGCTAAACGCTGATGGCTCTGCTCTCGTTCAAATCCCTGCGAGCGGGCTATTGCATGCTAGATTTCGCAATTTTGCCTGCATAAAATATGAATACGAGACATGCTTGAAAGGTCCTCCACGAAAACATCCTTTTGCTTAGACAGCAGGCATACTGCAATTAAATACTAAAATTATCCTACTATAATTTTTATGAAACTTTTAAGATGGCGACAATCCCTTCTCCGCCGATTCGAACTTGTCATTCTATACAGTTATTATAATTTTGAAATTATTAGCAGATTCTAATCATTATTTGAGAATACGTTTCGGATAATTTACAAATCTATTTCCAGACATCTTTATTCCGCATTGTTACAAGTCCCAAGGACCTGAATACTATTTAATTTTATTTATCGGGTAGGCTATATTCTTTTCGGTATCTCTTTGACTTTCAATTAAAACTCTAACCACGTTTAATTTTAAAATTATTTCACTGAATAAATAAGTATACCTTTGAAAACTGTTCTCATAAAGTATAATAATGTATACTGATCTGTAGAAAACAAACATTCGTAACATTCAGAAATACTTCGTACATCACCTTAATGTTAGTGAAAGTTATATTTTTAATAAATAACTACTGCACAAATTTTGTATTTTTATATTGAAATGATGAACAGGCTTGTTCATTAGGTTCTTAACAGGATTCTTATTTTTAAACGCCAAAAATATTTTTAGGGAATGAATTTATTCACTGGCAGAATTTGGCAGAAAATGAATTTATTCACTGGTTGTTGAAGAGCTCTCTAGGGCTGTCTGCCTAAGATGGATAACTTCGGGGAGGATTTTCTTCGAGAAACCGACTCATATTTACGTTACACATGAAGAAAACTATACTCCAGCGCAACTGGATAGTTGAATCCGGTTTGAATTACCAGAGTTCAGCAGCGTTATCAACTCCCCGCCATAAGACTCCTTTTGTTTTAAATTAGGAAAGAGTTTAAGAATAATTACAGCAAAGCAACGCGAGGGTTATCTGCCTATGAGAAGAGATCCTGGAATCGTTTTAAGGGAAACTAGTTAGTATTCCAGCTGTATATGGCAAACTAGAAAAACTGCCATATAGCCAGTCTGTTCGCCAGGATTTGAACCTAGGTGAAAATACCAAAGTTAAATGATTTTATCGTTTGACCGCTGTTGCCGTTTTGGGGAGAGAAAGTAGACAGAAGTCAGATGTGGAAAATTGAGAAATGATTGAGTGTATACATTTGTTCTGAGCCAAAACTAGTACTAGTCCAGGTCACCAGTGGTACTAGTTCCTGCATGCAGTACATCGCCTTTGAAACAAATGTTTTTGATTGTATTGTCTGAAACGCAACATTAAATTCATATCCGTAGTTCTCTCATAACTTTTCTGAGTACTGTGTGATTATATTTTGTGTACTTTACAGCGATTTTTTAATTTTATCTAATTGCTTCACTGTTTATGTTATGTCAAACGAAACGAATATTTTTTCATGAATTTCCAAGTTGTAAATGTATTATAGAGACCAACGTTTTTTACTGGGTACTTAGTACTTTCCAATCGACCATGAAAATTGGCGAAAATATGCCAAACTTCTGATAATCATTCCGGTGCAAGTTTAGAAGGTTTGAATTTGGTTTTATTTAATTATGGAAAAGCACTCGTTGGCTATCTGGCTAAGGAAGAGATGCCGTCGTGAAGGAATTTTTAAGGAAACGGCACACATATACGTTACACAGAGTTAAACGGTGTTGTTGACCAATCTCGCTTGTCTGATGGCAGAACAAGCTCACAAAATTTGCCTTGGTAACTACACAGGTGTCATTACGACTTTGTTCAATTCCGCCCCCCCCCGTTTTGGAGCAGAGCAGCTTGGGAGGGACAGGTCCAAAGGTCACCTACCGTCCTCTTTCCCTACCAACAACCTCTCGAGAGGACTATGGGCTCACTGCATATTTAGAATACCTCCATGCTGCACAGACACTATACATTTACAAACATCTTTTCTTTTCACCATCGACGGAACAGCTGGCCCACTGGGTTAGGTGCTTTTCAGTCTGTTGGTTCCCGTCGATGGAATTAAAAATACATGAATAATAAATAAAGAGCTTAGTACTGTGTCCTCCAGGGATTGGCCACGAAACGCGGAACATTGTAGTAAGGACCAGAACATGGAAAGAAGGGGCATGGTGGGGACTGCTGAGACTAAGTGGAACACTTTTCACTATTATCGTACATGTTAGGCATACAGTTATGTTAAGGATGTGCTATAAAAATCAGGTACAGATGTAAAGATGACCAAATACATTACAAATTGTGGAATACATCAAATGAGTTCTGGATTAATCATAATATTAAATATGATTTAAAAAAACAAG